AGACACTCTGTAACTCTGACCAGTAACCATTACGATTGACGTAATGACCACGTGCCCTCTGTGACCTTCGACCCTTTTGTATGTGGTTCATGACAAGAAGTTAAGTGTGAATGATGCTTTACGTAATAGTGATAATAGTGATAGTCACGTCTCGTTGCAGAAAAGAGTCACGCGGACCTGGTCTGGCCGCCGTCGAAATGATGCAATAAAAAAGTGGGAAGATGTCGCTTTCTCTAGCTAAAAAATATATTGCTGTTGCCACAAAATGTCGCTCTTTTTCTGTCAGTTCCTGTCGGCTGTCGGTGTTTTTAAAAAAGATTGTCGCCACATTTTGAGGTCATGTCGCCTGTCGGTAAAACCCCTTGGAAGGCCTCTTATGAAGTAAGTATTGGCAGGAGCAACATCTTCACTAATTTCTTTATCATGACTCATCGTATCTGCAAAAATATACTGTACCAATAGTATTAATTAAATATATCTACCTAATTTTCGTGCATCAATATCAAATTAGTTGTTTACATTATTTTAATTTGTATCGTGCAATCAGATTTTTGAAGTTGTTATTGCTTTACTAAACTCATTAAGAAATAAGTACCCACACTAGAAATTTTGCGCAATGCAAAAACATACGTGTTTTTAGTATTCTTCATCATTATATGAGCTCTAGTTTCGGATTCATGTTTCACCACGGCAAGGTCTCGACTAAATGCAGAATTTTGAATTTGACAATGACACTCAGACAGACGGCAGAAGTTGAGACGGGATTGATACCTGAAATCTTTTGGATAAACATCAAAGAAAAAATTTCGAATGTATCGGAAGATAGTATAAGACCCACATTTACGGTTTACTAAGAATAAGACAACTATCAAACAACTTTGCATGTTATCACGAGTCAGTCTTTCATTTGAGAGCCTCATTTGGTAAAATGGCGGCATTCAATTGCTTCCAGTGACGTGTCTTGAGATTCGATTTTCTACAGGAAAGCTACCACTCTGAATGTCCGGCAAGACATTTTTTGAAAGCTTAACAGATAAACTTTCATGTGAGACAGGTTTCGTTTATTCTCTTAAGATGAGTATTAGACCCAAATTTTCGGGTCCTAGGTGATGGACTGCAGGTTTCAGGTGATGTTCATTGTCTGAGTTGGCAGATAAGCACTTGGAAGTGCGAACCCTGTTAGGCCTTTGTATTGCTCTGCAGAAAACGGCACAATGTCAGGTCCGTCTTCCAAATCAACAACTTGATCACCAGCATAGTTTCCAAGGGAAAGATACATCTCATCTTCATGACCCTCTGAACTTGCACCTTTAGGAAAGAAAAGCTTTTTCGCAATCTGAAGGCAATCGTCGTATCCTGCATCTCTAGCAACGTCTACCCTGCGTTTTCCACCACCATGATCACTTCATTTCTGTTTGTACTTCCCATTCGACCAATGTTTCCAACCGAACTCAAACTTGAGTGTTTCCTTCTGTCGCACTTTTGATAGACCACCCCTACTGTCCTTTGTACTTGCTCTCTTGCCGCACTTATTTTCGTTGAGGATATTTTTTACTTTATCTATCTTTTCCTGTCGTTCTAAATCAGGACTAAGACTTGCCGCTTTGGTGGAAGAGGATGGTAGCGGAGAACAGAACGCTTTGAGTCTAAGTCTGTCACCGATTGTTTCCTCGCCCAAGGAAGATAGCTGTTCGTCCGACATCATAAGGATAGCCGATTTGTCCACCTGTATCCACGGAAAAAGCATCAAATGTTATCTAAAGGGCAAAAACAAGTTGAAATACTCATTAAAAATGAACTGGGAATGGAGCTTTATGTACAGTAGAGAAGTTCCTTGATGGACATGGTAAATTGCATATTGAAAGTTTCAATTGAAAGCTGTGGTGGTCGTTATTTAAAAGTGGGTCCCTTTATTAAAAATGTGAAAAAAATCAGCTAAAAGTAAAATAAATCCATTTTCTATTAACTTGTATCAAGTTAATAAAATGCATTAATAAGTATATTTACAAATATATGACGACAAAGAATGAAAAGCCACTGTTTATAACAATGCGTGCAACATTGTTGCATGTATTTATTTATCTCTAGGTGTTCAGCTATTAAGATTAAAGGTAAAATAAAGTAAGTGTAGAGAAAGGGCTAGAGATAGTAAGAACTAATAATAGCCCTTAACCCTTTCACTTCCAAGATCAAAGAAGCGATCCTCATTGGCGAGTCTCATACACTTCATTGTATCAATTCAGAATCGTCATTGTTGTAGAGTGCTAAATTCTCCTCACGTGTTTTCTTAACAATGAACTGATATTGTTAGGAGAAGTTAAACTTTAATCACTCTTGGGAGTGAGAGGGTTAGTAAACATTTCTTTCGGAAGGGAGATTGTTGTAATAGGAAAAAAATAGATGAAAATAAGTAAAAAAAAAAATGAGAAATAAAATCATAGAACATAAACACATACAGAGATTACTACTACAGCTACATTATCTGTAAACCCTAAAGCAAAATATTTTATACTAAGAAATATCTCAGTATTGCAAAAAAAAAAATTGGAAAATTGCTTTCGTGAATAACAGTTTGGAAGACTTGGTTTTTAAGGGAGGAGGAATGTCATTCCAGAAATACCATCTGATAATATGCAGTGGCGGATCCAGACCTTCAGATAAGGGAGGGGCCTGGTTATCCAGACCCTGAGATAAGGGGGGCCCGGTCTCAAAGAAAATTTTTTCGGCCCTTCGGGTCTCATTTTGGTCTAAAAATGAGGGGGGGGGGAGGGTGGGCCCCCGGGCCCCTCCCCTGGATCTGCGATGGTAATGGTTGGACAAAATTTTCGAATATTAATTGAAAAAGGGAGAGTTTGTAACAGTCTAGCAGAGGCACTACGCATAGTATAATATTGTTGCTAGGACAGAAAAGTTTGGAAAACAAAATTTTGTTAAGCATACGACACAACACTGCCACCAGTAGAAAAAGGTTAAATAATCGATTATCATAATATACCCTGGTGTATTTAAATGGCTAGTTAGGAACGTTTCAGAGCATCCAGTGAAGTACAAAACAAAAGAAATATTGTCTAAAAGATTGTTCAATTCATTGATGTGTTGATTAAAACTTCTGGTATTTAGATGAAGAGCAGACAGGTGTGGCTTAACAACAGAGGACAATTTATTAAGTTCTATCATCTATTGTAACATCCTTCACCAGTCAAACAATGATAAACCTTCGTTTTGCAAGTCCAAACCATGGGAAACAACAACATGAGCCAACCTTTCGCCACCAGTGAAAGAAAAAAAAACGATATCCAGTCCAAATTGCGTGAAATAAACTAGGTGGACGTTTGTCCCAGAACAAAGTAGGCCCCCTTTTTTTTCTAGGAAAGGTCTGCAAGACATAAATATTTCCTTCAATGCTCATGAATAACTTTGGCGGAAAGTGTACACAAAGTCTAACACATGACGCACACGAAACCCTCCTTGACCACAACCTTTTGGAGGTGGGAGGGGCTGTTGGTGAAATGAGGTATTTAAAAATATGCTTTCAGACTCTCCCTCTCTTTAACTATCAGTTTTTGCTCACAAGCTCTTTCGCTTTTCACCTGTTTTTTCGCTTGTTTCCCACTAGCTCCCGCTGACCGAGAGCTTGGCATAGACTACCTCCCTTACAAATCTGCCAAATGTTGTCATACCTTCTCTCATTTCTGTCATTATTGGATGCTTACACAAGAATCGATTCCATGTTCTTACCCTTGATTTATAATACAGCATTCATTTATTTCAATAGTTATGATGCAACTGCACTACATAACTTTATATAAGGGCATGTTGAGGGCACAAATGGAGCGAAGCTCAGGTCCACAAATTTGATAAAAGTAATGACCGGGTCTGTAAAGGTTTTTTGTTTTTCCTTAAGACAAGGGTTTTATTAGTTTTGAAAATTATAATGTAAAGATATCGCCTAAAGAAACAAAATTGGTTGTTAAAATTGTGGCATTACCTCGGTTTAAGAACCTTTAACTCCAGTGGGAGATTACAACAACAACAGGTATGGGGTAGAGGAAAGGGCCAGAAAGCAGGCCCTCCCATTTATTTAAAACAAAACTGCCCAAGCAGAATCAGTACACTACAGACTAAACAATAATAACTAACCATGACGGGGGGGGGGGAGTTAGGGAAAGCCAGCTAAATCAAGCACATGTTAAGAGTTCTAGCAGCGTTCTGACAGTTCTAAAGCACAGACTCCGGTAAACTAGTATCCAGGCTTCCCTCCTCCCCAGAGTTAAATGTAAATAAAATGAATATTATTACTAGCTAACTCCAGTGGGAGATTACAACAACAACAGGTATGGGGTAGAGGAAAGGGCCAGAAAGCAGGCCCTCCCATTTATTGAAAACAAAACTGCCCAAGGGAGGAACGACCTAACTCATACCAATAGAAAAGTATAAAAAGTAAATAAGCAATCAAACAAATGAGGCTAGTTGGCGAATAGCATACATTCTATACTTAATGGGTATGTGACTATAAGACTTGAAGGCATTCTCCAGTCTCCTAGTCTTTTAATAAACTCCTCAGAAATGTTAGCTTGAAAGGCTAGGGTGGCACCCCCTGAACGAAGGCTGTGACCACTGATGCAGGATGGGTCTAAACCTGCTGTGGAAGCAACTGATTTAAGAAGGCTGTCGAACTTGGCATATGTGAATGGTATTAGGCCCCTCCTTGAGGGTGCTGGCAAGACGAAGGCTGGACCAGACAGGGTGGCTGGCACAAACTTGAAGGCATGCTGTAGTGCAGAATAGGGACACAGTGGGTGACCTGGGATGAGAGGTAGTGGAACAGTAAGGAGACGTTGACTAAACTGGATGGTTTTAGACCAGCGGTTGATGACAGTGGCCCAGCCTGTGTGGAACACAATGTCACTTCGCCCAAGATGCTTTACAGGGTTGAACTTGGCAACACCCTTCAACAACATATTAGCTTTGCGAAGAAGTCCAAAGAAGCGTGTTAAGCAGACAGCCCAAAAGGTGGCATGGACTGGGTCTGTCAAGTTCAAATGTGACTTGATAGCCAAAAGCATTGCAGGGGTCATGGGTTCTTTCTGTGAGACTGTGCAGCCTTTGCAGCGACGTATACCACGCAAGGTTGTTGCTAAGTGGACGTTGTTCTTGGTAGGGTCTTCCAGGCCATGTTCCAAATGGAGAATACGGACAATGTTAAGATTAGCTGGAATAGAGAAAGCAGACAAAGAGCGTGCCAAGAAAGCTGCGTAGCGGCTAAGTGTGATGGTAGACGCTGGAAGTGGCTGGTACCCATAATATACGCAAAAGGTAAGATAGGCTCGCAGTTGACTTTTGTAAGTGGCCTTGGTGGAAGTTGCATAGGCTTGTTTTCGAAACTTAAGAACCTTCAAGTCCAATCGTGACTGATCGTCTGGATCTGAGGAAAGTAAGTGACAAAGGTGACATGTGAGACAACAAGTCTTCCGTAGAGGAAGAGGACCGTGAGAGCCATGCGTGAAGTGCGTGTCGGTGGCATGTTTCATCAAGTCTAGAGATACTGTCGGCAATAACATTGGCTGAACCAGGGATTTGCTCAACAGTTAGTTGGATAGCATAGTACTCTGACAACCAGAAGAGCTCTCGGAGCCAATCCATCATGATAGGACAGGGAGTGGTTCCTTTGGTTACAATTGCTGCAGCAACTTCACTATCTGACTTGACTACAACCCTTTGTCCTGACCAGGATGGGGCCCACCGTTTGGTGGCCTGGAGAACCATGAAGGTTTCTTTGTAGTTGACATGCAGGGGGCAGATATTTGGGAAATCTAGTGCCCAGTTAACGTATAGGCAATCATTGTGCCAACAACAGCCACCACCTGCAGGGGAAGCATCAGTATAGGCTAGCGCAGATGTCATAGGTAGCTTGTCGGGAAATAGGGATCTGCAGTTGAAAACAGGAAGAAGGGATGCCCACCAATGAAGGTCTGCTCTGGCTTGGGTATTAAGGTAAACATGATGGTGACGATGCTTTGCAGAGTTCATTACAGTAATCAAGCGGCGCAAAAAAATCCGGCCCCCTCTGACGACCCGAGCAGCCCAGCTTAGTTTTCCAACAAGGCGTTGAAGGTGATGTTTTTAGCACTTGCACTTGGTTAAGGTTAAGTTCAAAATGTCTAATAGCTCAGAGATGCAGACCCTGGGAAGCCGTAGTACACGATTCACTGTATCCATTTCGATTCCCAGAAAGCAGAGGGATTGGCTGGGTTGAACCTTTGACCAGTTTATTGTGAAACCAAGTGACTGAAGCAATAAATCGAGGAGGGTGTCCACAGCGATTTGACACTGCTGCTGACTGGGTTCTATGATGAGGAAATCATCCAAATATGCAAGCACTGTGAAACCTCGTCTGGCCATCATTCTACAAACTGATTGGGTAAGGCGGTGGAAAACCATAGGAGGGGTTTGAGCACCAAAGGGAAGGCATTTATCAAACAGGAAAGTGATGTCGGTAGTACCTTGAAAAAGCCAAGACATGCCAGTGACTTTCCAGCTGCTGGGGTGAGTACCAACACTTCGATAAGCATGTTTTAAATCAATCTTGGCCAACCAAAAACCTGGTTTGACTTTGCATGCTGCCTCATCAACTGTAGTATATTTGTAGTGGTCAAGGTCTATGTAGGAGTTTGCACTCAATACAAGCGGTCGACTGCAATCCATAATCAGTCTCAACTCTGGAGTCCCTTTTGGGTACAGCTCCAATAGCATTAACAATGATGGGGGGTGTGTTTGATGATCCAAAGTGGCCTAGTGAGAGGCCCTTACATAGTTGCTCTTCAATCTGCTCTTTGGCCCCTGGCCTGAGCGCCGATCTGTTCTTCTTTTTGAAAGCTCGTAAAACGGTAGTATCTCGCGGAATCAAGTCAAACCCTTCTCGTACACCATTGAGAATAAAGTCTCTGTCCAAATCATTAGCTAGGTCCTTTGCCCATATCTCATATTTTAAGTCTGTGGAAATACAGGCTGCATCGGGCTCCTGCGCATAACATGAGGGTCCTGCTGATTGGTAGGAGACAGAAACAAACTCTGCTGTTTCTGAACTAACGTATGGGTATTTCCCTGCTATAGGTGATGCAGCCGAGCTATTCACTGCAAGTGACTCCACTAAATAATTGAGAAATAGCTCTGCAGGCGAGTGTGTGTTCAGGCTTGGGGGTAGTGAGTAGCTGTGTGCTTCCATTGGGGGTGATCCCCCAAACACTGTGGCTTTATACAAACATGGTCATACTTGCGAGCTGTGCCATAGCTGCAGCCTTGTCGTTGTTGCAAGTCATAGCACACCTGCTTGCCGGTGGTCGGGTTGATAGTTGGCGTTGATCTACCTGGAGGATGGTTTGCTTGCTTGGTTTAGCCAGGCTAGTTGGTGTCAGGCTTGTGGAGGGATTGCTGGTAGATAAACTGACTCTCTGTACCCCATTTACAACCAGTGGCGAATTGCATTCGTCGATAAAGGTCATTATAGTGGATGACACGGGCTATCGGGTAGATCTGAGACTTTGGTGCTATATGATATGTAATTCATGTCTGACATAGTTGACAAGGCACCTTCTTTGACAAGTGTGTGCATGATCCTGAAGTTTGCTACTGACCATTGTGGAAAGGTGATGTTGTTGAGCAGGTGCTTTTTCTCATGGCTAGTCTTTAATATGATTTGAGTGCCAGCAGAAACGTCAACCATGGTCTCCCAGTCCTCTTCCAGAACCACTGGGAGGGAACTGACAAAATCTGGAATTAGCAGGGGACGCTTACCTCTGGGGGTCGTGCTGGGTTCCAGTAGTTTTTGTGCTGGATCCGCCAATTCGTCAGAAAGACCAAGAAGAATTGGGTCCCCCAGTGACTCTTCTAAGGCTTTAAGCTCCTCCTGAACCGCTGTGTCAGATTGCAACGCAGTTAGAGTGGGTACAGGCGTTCTTTGGGTCGTACACTGGCCTTTATTTTGTGTGTTGACGTTCGCCGGGTTTGGTGTGGCCATCTTGGATTGACTTTCATGTGCCATCGCAGACTTGACCCGAGCAAGCTCAATTTTGGCTCGTGTCAGTTCAAGTTCCAACTTCAAGTTCTCATTCTGAAGTTTGCTGATACTGGCGGCAGACTGCTTTTCTTCTTCGGGTGTAAAGGTCGGGGTTTGAAGTTTGTTGGCACTTGCAGACTGTTTACCTGCTTCAGGTGTTAAGCTTTCAAGCAGAGACGCTACTTGGTTCAATTCATCTCTAATCACACATGTCTGAAGGCTCTCTGTCGGATCTAATTCTAACTGGAAATCCTGCAAATGCTGGGGAGGTTTCTTCTCTCTCGTACTTCTTCTAAGCTTCATAATTCAGAGAGGAGAAAGCCAGGTAAATCAAGCACATGTTAAGAGTTCTAGCAGCGTTTTGACAGTTCTAAAGGGCAGACCCCGGTAAACTAGTATCCAGGCTTCTCTCCTCCCCAGAGTTAAATGTAAATAAAATGAATATTATTACTACGTTAAACTCACGAGTGAGGTAAAACCAAAAAAAAACACGCAAAGTGACTGAGAGTCAGTACAATAGAGCCAAGGAAAAGAATAGCCATAAAACGAAGAAAAACCTCACAGGTTCTTACACCCAGATAAAGCCAAAATTCTAGAACACGCTTTACTTTTCTTTAAATGTTCAAGAAACGGGCCCCTAAACGCCATTGCATATGTGCCCTACATTTGCCAGTACAGTTGTATTGTGACACAAATAATGAGCCAGCGTCTGTGATGTTTTTTGTTTTGTGACATGCTGATGATGAGAAAATGTCATATTCATTTCTTGATTAATGTACGAGGTTATAAGGCCTTCCGAAAACCATTATTATATCATAGCCAGTGCTAGCTAATGCAAGGTAGTCAAGGTAGACAAGGAATGTTGTTTGTATTACTCACAGCTCGGTAAATAGTTTTAAACTCTCTGGAGACTGGGAGACCTCATACCGGCGTTTGTTTGTCACTTTGCCCAGAATATGACAGTTAGTCTCCTTTTAAACACTTTGTTCATTACAAAGGCAAACCTCAGCAAAAGGGACTAAACTGCTTTGAAAGTCTACACAGTCTTAAGTTACATTCACAAGCAAAAGCCTTTGTTTCTGTGAATATTTATCCAAAAAATGAAAGAACACTTTCTTTGACTTAGAAAGAAAACAGGAGCTCAAACTGAAAAAAAATACTGCTTTCTTCGTTATGGAATGGTTAACCACATGTTGCCAATCAGTAAGCAATGTAATGTTGTAACTCATAAATGTGGATGTTTTCTATTATGGTTAACCCTTTGAACTCTTTATTTACACCACAAATGTGCAATCTTTCTTGCCAAGAAAAAGCCATGCGAAGCACTTTCCTCATGGAGGAATCTGCTTTTGCCTTTCTTGTGGCATTTGCGCATAAAAGTGCATAGCCATCATCACTGGCTCCTCATCAATAGTGCAATTTTTTCACAAACATAACGTTTTTTTTCCAGTGGAAAAGATTGGCGTGTCTTTCTCAGAGACAATGTCTTTTGTATAATGGGATTTTGGGGCTGGTAAACAAACTGTCCCTCCAACATTAATAGAAAATCATGCCACTAAAAGATTGGAGAGCATCTAAAATCATTTTAAAAAATGCATTCAGCCTTTTCTGCGCCAACCCATGCAAAACGTGTGAATGCTAGGTTTGATGAGGTGTAAAAAAGCAATAATGAGGAAAAATGCCTTTGTGCGGTTGGCTGGGCCTACAATCCAAAGATTCCGTTATTTGCTGTATCCTTTCTGTCATAATTCATGAACACAATGCCTGAAGTAGTTTGTGTCCACTCCATTACTCTGGAGTATTTCTGGTTAAAATTCACCATTTTCCAGAACCATTATTGTACACATTCTCTGTCTCTTGCTTCCTTTAACAGCTGAATTCTGCTTTTCCTCTGCTTTTCTAAGTTATCTTTGGAGTTTTCCAGCTCCCAGGTAGTAACCAGCAGGGCTGCTACAGCTTTGGCAACTTTACAATATACTTGACGATGTCAGTTTTCCCCTCTTGGTTTTACTCTCTTGCAAGTGCTAGCAATTCTGTTCGAGACTTAATGTTTTTAGCTAGAATAATTTATGATAATTCGTACGAGGCTGTACGTTTCTTCCTCTTTTTGCTTTCTTCTTGTTCCCTCTTTTTCATGGCTGCAGTCCTTTTCCTTTGGTAAAAGAGGTCATGGTGGTTCTTGGAGCAGTAGCGCTTGTGAGGTCAGGATGCCCGCCACTGTGAATATATTCTTGGTCTTCTTTCATAACATACTTCCATGGGCTGAAATAGTTTTCGTGCATGGATGAGAAATGTACGGAAATACCAGACGTCTCTAACAGGTATTGTTTGCTAAGAACTTGTCGAGCTTCATTGCCATGTGAAAAAGTACACCCGATTTACTGTGCTGCTCCAGGCAGCAACACCTCTGTAACACTTCAGCAGGCTTCTCCACAAAAGACTCAACATCAGCCTCTGCAAACAAAGACCTTGTTTGCACTTTTTATCAACCATGTTATAGGTTTTCAGGTAAAATTTGCCGTATGTTATGGTCGTTCATTCCAAATGCGTTTAAATCATACACGGCTTGGGTTGTCTCTATTTCTGAATTCGTAGAATCACACTTACCGTTAATTAGTTTCTCCATTGTTGTACCTGACCCTTAAGAATACTTTTGATAAGATAGCGTCCTCTGCAATGGCAGTGTTCACAACACAACTTATCTCCAACAGCGTATGAGGGATGTGCTCAGGAATATGAGAATGAGTAAAGACATACACTTCATACATTTTATTCTAGATAAACTACAAGGATCCTTTCAAATGCAGACATAACAATCTTTTTTTGGGCCCAGCTAGGACACTAGACACCTAATTGGTTGGCTCAGTAACAGGTGCAATAATCTGGTTAGTCATCATCTTGTCAAGCTCTGTCTTCATTGCTTCCTTCTTAGGCAGAGGGACTCCATGTGGGAGACGAACCAGGGAATGCATTTCTTTATCCAGCTGAATACTGTATTCTCCAGATAGAAAACCAACACCTTGAAATACATAAGCAAAGGGACTAAGAACGGGATCCGAAGAAACATTCTCTGGAGTAGCACTAATATTGTTGACAGTGGTGTCAACACCTAAAACCATAATTTTCACAAGGCCCAATGCCTTCCTCCTTGAGTGATCATCCATTACCAGAATGATATCTTAAGGAACAATGTTAGCCCGATGGTGGTCATTAGTGGCTCTAATATAATCTTCAAATCATAAGATGTTTCCTGAAGAGCCTCTATCGAATTGAAATGTTTCTGAAGCAATGTAACTTAGGGTGACTGGAGCAAGGGCTTGACCTTTTTACGAATTTTATAAATGTAAAAAAACTTTCTCAACAGCATTGGAATTTACTTTCTCAGACTTACCACTGCGACATTTGACTGCAAAATGACCAACTTTGCCATGGTTTTTGCATTTCTGTCTGATGCTGAACGTAGCTCTTTTTGAGCACATGTTCACCACCACAAAATGTTCGATTAAATCGATTTCCAATGCATGAGATGGATTGTCTCATTGAAGGGTTTCATACATGTCCATTTCCTTCTTTCCAACAATGTTTAATAGAGAGGCAACGCAAACTTCTTCCAACGTTTTATGAATGCCCACAGCTAAACCATAAAACTTTCATTGTTGAGGAAACAGTTTCCAATTCTCTCCTTGTGCAAACGGATTAATTCAGCGGCGAGGGAATTTTGGTGGTGGTTGTACTGACAGTGGCCATGTATGGGATTATGAATGAAGGCAGACAAAAGCCTTTACCTCCAACTCGGAACTGACAAGGCGTTGAAACTGTCAGAAATTGTGGCAACAATAGTAAACTCAATGTCTCAGTTGTCAATAGATGAGTGTGTGGTTGTGAGATGGTTAAGTGTTAACAAAAGGTTAAACTGCCTAAACAATGATAAAAAGTTAAGCAAGGGTCAGTTTTGTTTGGTTGAAGACTAGGTAATGTGAACTTTGGTTAAAATTTGTTGTAACGATACGTTTAATGTAATGTATCTTGGTAGGATTGTTAAGTTAATAAGAGTTGGTTAAAATGATGTGTGTTGTAAAATGAATGAAACAACTTGCCAGTTGTTTTGCTTTTTCACTTCATTTTTTTAGCCGTTTTGTAAGTAAATGTTCATTTAAGTAGTCCTTGGTTTTGTAGTTTAAACTTTTGAGTTATTGTTATTGCAATTTCTTTCGTTGAAAAATGTGGTTTTCCTTTTCTGCAGGGGGATTTTGTTAAGGGGGCATTCTGGTTACATTTTGGGGCAAATTCACTTGCATATAAAATAATGCATAAAAAATTTACAATTGGGAGAAAACAGTCAAAACTTGGCACATGCATTAACCAATGACTAATAAGTAAGACAACATGATCAATAGACACCAGAATCTTTAATGAAGTTAATTATTAACTAATGAATTCCGGAGACATTTTTTTACTTGTTCTAGCTTCCCCTTGAAATTCTTGTGTTCTAAAAGAGCAATAGAGCTGTAACTTGATATAAAGCACTTACACAACACACTCTACAAATTAATTGAGCCTTTTGGATTTTGCCAACTATAGTTACCATGGCAACCATTTGTCAACAGAGAATATTTATCAGACTGTAATTTTTGTTGTATGTGGAATTTTCAAAAAAGGCTCAATTAGTTTGTTAACCATAATATCTATTATAACTGTGCAAAATATGGTGACAATATATTGAAATGCTCTTGAGATATTTAAGGGGCAAGCAAGAAAACAACAAAATTTCCATAATTTGAGAAACGCAAGTTAAAAATGAACAATATAGATAGATGCTACTTGGAGCCTCTTGACTTACATAAAGTCACAAATTTACATTGATACACTACTCACATCTATCCTAACTGTCTCTACTTCTTCCTTTTTTTTCTTTTGGGGTTCTCTGAGAGGAGCAATGTCATTAAAACCGCCCGCTTCATATGTCGTTCCTTCTCTTCTGACTCTAAGTTCCTCTTCTTTTGCTTTTGCTTGTCTCCTTGCAAGCCTATATTTCTTGTGTTTTTCTTGTCCTCTTGCCACAGCCTGTTTCACTCTTCCTGAGTCTCTTCTTTCACTAGCTCTGTTGGTATGATGTCCCACAACAAGGCCTGCTTCCCTCATAACATCGTGTTTCTTAGTTGCGCCGCAACTAAAATGAAGGGCAGCAGCATTTGCCGCCATTCCTATTCTCTTTGATCCATGCCACTTGTGCTTTGGACACTTATTCCAAACAAGAGAATTGATAGATTCATTGGCATTGTTTGTGTAGCCTGGCAAACACCTTTGCAACAATGCTGGCTCACTTAATCTTTCATAAATCTTTAGCAATGGCTCTTTGAAGACTGCATCCAGATGATGAGGCTTGTCTTTGCAGGGTAAGCCTTTCTTAAATTTGCACCAAGAATTGTTTGGGCAAAACTGATGCCTCTCCTTATCTTCTATCTTGAGAGAATGATATAGTCCAGCTTTGATGGCTGTCTGCATATCTTTGACAGCTTGGTCTTTCTGTGCTGCTGTAAGAGCTCCTGTTTTAACATTGTTGCGTATGGCTTTGCCATAATTAGTTTTAAGTTTTTCAATGGCAACCTTAGTCAGTCTACCATTACTCCCTTTGACAGACTTTCCATCTGCCATCTTTGTAGCATTCCTTTGATATTCATATAAGGCCTTGCCCAGTCTTTTCTGGACATGACCTATGCAGTCCAGCTTGAAGACGCGATTGCAGTCAGCTGTTCCTTGCAGGTGCTTGTCCTCCCACTTGATATAATCAGGCGACTCTTTCCAAGAGATATATTTCTTGTCAGTATGTTCAAGTACTTCATACTCATTGCAGGTATCACAGGCACCATAAATATTCCACACAGCACTATAGGACTTAGAGTCACCATCAGTGATCATAAAGTTATAGCGCAAATTATAATCGATGCTGCGCCCCCACAATCTCTTTGCGCATTCCATCTCCATGCTAGGACTGGAGCCTTTATAGGAGCCATCACACTCATGCTCTGCAAACCACTCATCAAATGTCTCTTTATCCAATCTAGCTTGCATTTGAGAGCATTGATTGCATGTTTTGGAAATGACTTCCAAATCTAAAACCTTTCCTGTTGCTGCTGATATTACGAAGCCAACACAATGATTAGCAGTAAAACCCCTCTTCGACCAAGTGCTATCAAAGGTGACAGGGATATCAACAAGAGAACTGTTATCATTTCTTGAGGTTCCTTCATCTATTGCAACCTGTTTTGCTTCATTCGCATTGGCTTTAAGCTGCTCCTTGGTGACTTTGTCGTGTGCAGCATGAAGAATTCCCTCATGGTTATACCAAGTGTCTATGGAAATGCTGAATGGCATGTTGAGGATTTCACATAGCTTAGCCACCCCTTCTCTACCAATTCCCATCTCAAAGGCAGCATAAACTACTCGTCTATGGATATCTTTACCCTGGATGGTTCTCGAGGTCTCTTGATCACCATCATGCTCTCCTGTAGCCATAAATTCCTCCATGCCACACTCATAACACTTTGCAAACAAAGAACTGCTGAGACCAAATCTCTCAATGCTTCTCTCAATGAGCTTAACATTGCCTAAAATAAAATAGTTCTATGTAAGACACTATAGTATAGTCACAGACAAACACTGTGTGCTCGAAAATAAAGAAAAATTAAAAATATTATAAAAAATTAAAAATATTATATAACACACCTGAAGCACATGGTCCACGTGAGTGAATCCTACGAACAAACTTCAACAAACTGTCCATAGAAACAAACCGATACCCTTTTACTTCCTCCTCAAATTCATAACTCTCCGAATCAGATGATTCCTGTTCTTGGACACCTAGTTTCCGCGAAGAAGCTGGAGTTTTGGGTGGAGGAATTCTTTCACTTACAACATCCTCTTCGCCAACAAATGTGACAGCAACAGTTTCAGTCTGATCACGCGTTTTTGCTTTCAAAACAGTTTGTTTTTGAACTCCCCTGAAGCCTTTCTTCTTACTTGACTTATTCTTCTGAATAGTCGACTGTTTTGAACCACGTTTAGGCATTATAACAATGATATTTTGGGTGCATACGAAATATAAACAATGGCGACGCGAAGCGATTTTATGAAGCAACACGAGTAAGCTCTTTGAGCTGAGTAGCCAGGCTCTAATCGGAAAATTTAGACCCACGGACGTGGATCTAGGACTTCTGGATCCCACGGACTCAATTTCAGCCGATTTTTTGTTTTTCCATAGTAAATGTCGCTGAAATTCTGATTGGTTTCCCTTTCGTTGCCATGGTAACGGAAACGCAAAACAAAAGAGACCTTTCTTTATGTGGATTTTTTTTAATAAAAGCGTTGTTTGTTGGGTAAAAGAGTATTAAATCCTAAAAATAGATAGACTTAAGTGACCTTTAGGGCCATAAAACTTTTTCGCATTTCTTTTGGGAATTTTGGGAATTTTTGACCAGAATGCCCCCTTAATAGGAGGGATTTGAACAGGTTCAAGGTCAAGCGAACTGAAGAATTTCTGGCAGGCATTTTACTGGTAAAAGTGGACACAAGATAGTAAAAATGGAATTTTTAGGATTGAAAATGGTGATGGTTTAGAAAACGTGACCTTAAAAAGGATTGAGTGGTTTTTCAAACGTTGTGTTTATTGCTAGTTGCTGAAAATATGAAATGTAGGTGAATTTCTTCTGAGTTGATTTCTTTAAGTGCAGTTGAAAGGATTTCAATAAAAAAGAGCTTACCTTACATAAAAAGTGTGTTACATCTTATCTGTGTGGTCCATGGGCGTATTTATGGCTATTTTATGGGTTGTACTGTAAACAATTTATTGAAGCGATAAGTTGTTTTTCCCATACAAATTCTTACATTTGGAATGTAACCAACGAATGCTGATGTTTGCCAATGCTTGTATTTCAAGCTTGGGCTACCTGTGGTATTTTTTGCATGTATTGCAAGTCTCCCAGATAGGGGGGCCACCTCTTGCTCTTCCGTATGGGTCTATCTGCTGCATAAAATCATTTGTTGAGCTTTTCTGTGTCTTACTTTGAGATGTAGCCCATTTTTAGCACATTACTTGAATTTTTCTTATTTGCAGGACTGTTTCTGGGTGATTTTTGCATGTATTTAGTCACTGTTAGAGATGATTATTTCTGGTATGAAACGATCATTGCGAATTGCACTTCATGTAAGAGTTCATATAATGGCCTAAGTCATTCCCATTGGGGGCTTGGTCAATTTCTTGGAAGTGGGGGAGGGGGTGGGGTCTGTTGAAATTACAGGGGGATAGTGAAAAAACTGAAGAGGGTGTCTAGATTTTAGATGTCTAGAGGTTGGCATGTCTGTTTTTTAGGTGACTGTTGACTTTTTGCTGAACTTGTCTGTGTTTTGTTTCCGACGATTGTTGACAATAAGAGACTTTGTGTAAGAAATAGAATAGTGAGATGTGCAAATGCTAAACAAATTGGTTTTCCTTAAATGAAATGAATAAAAAATTGTTATCTGCGATGAGTTGGACTGTTTCTCTGTCTTCTTGTAGTTTTACTCGTTCTTTTGGCGTGGATAATCTTTGTTACTGCATTCATTAGAAGAAGTTTACAGGGTTAAATTGGTCTTAATATTGAGGGAGTCAAAAAACTACAAGCAGAGAGTAAAAGAGAGTTGAAGACATGGCAGGTAAGTATTTATTATTGATTTTACTGAAGCTTAAATGATATGTAACGTTATTTAGGGTTGTCAGATCTCAGTATGTTATTTGTCATAGAAAGTGTCTTATTTTGAACAGTGGCTTGTAATGCGACAGTGGTACGTTCAACACAAAGGTCAGGTCTGGTGAGGTATTGTATGTAAATAAGTTTAGACTGCAGCTTTTCTGGTAGCAAGAGTTTGGGCTGCTTGCGGTGAGTGGGGTCAAATATTGAAGAACTTAGTCTCTGTCAGGCACAATTTTCAATATGGCGGGTTCATGTGAGGACGTGGTTGGTGGAGATGTTGTAGTTCATGCAGATGTTGAGGAATTAGTGTTGGAAACAGTTGAGGAATACGTTGTTTTATACGAGGAAATTTGGAGAGAGTGAAATGGAGAATAACTCTCAGAGAGAACTTATTCAAAACACACCTTGAAAGTTAGGATTAGGAGCAATTGTTTTCTTGCCGACAATATTTTGTTTATTTGTTTATTTTGGAACCCTGATGGAATTGTTCTTTCTGTAGCTTTGAATTGGGAAAAAAGGTTTTGCAGAATTATTTTGGCTGTGAGGTAAAATTTTGAGTGTGAAAGATGTCACAGTACGCTAGGTATGTTTTATTTCAAGAAATTATTACACAGCGAGAATGTACTGGAAAGTGAATATTTATTTATTAGCAAAAGTTCGACTTCCAAAGAGGTTTCCAAGCCTATGAAATTGTTGTCTAAAGTAGCCTGCAGTTCTAGATTTGGTGGCTGCCATGTTGGAGATCTCTTAGTAGCGTGGTAATAAGTGTGTGATGTCAATGCGTTGAACCGAATTTTGTTAAAGGACTGAAAAGTGTTTGTTTTTTTTGTTTCGGAGCTGGACAAGAAGATATAAGTAGATATAAGATAAAGATATAAGTAATCCAAAATGAGGAAAAAGGAAGTGTTGTGTGATTGAATCTTTCCGCTAAAGACTGGTCGAGTAGATTGATGTTGTGTACTTGTTACTTGGGTGCTAGGTGTTCTCCAAGATGGTGGCTGCCATATCTTGAATTTCGGGGTATTTTAGAGGAGAATTTTATGGCCAGAATATAATTTCACGCACGCGCGTGGTAGCAGTGAACACTTCCAATTCCAACAGAAAAGAATGAAAATTTACAAAGAAATGTGGGATAAGTAAAATAATTTGCAATACAGCATGTCGTGCAATATATCTGAACACTAGGTTGCGATTGAGACTGAAAGGTTGACTTATTTAGATTTTAGTTTTGACAAACTTTAACTCGCACCTTCAAATCTCGAGCTTCCCAGTATTTTGTCCCGCCACGGCCATTTTGCACGTCTTGAAAACTGAAAATTTGGCATTTCGATATATAGCCAACTTCTGTAAAGTATTAGTCACAAGTGTGACATGTTAGCGCACATAGCATGTTTGTAACCGGCTAATGATATTTACTGTTTCTAATGCAGCCTATTTGCCAAATGCAATCGATCGTGGAACTGCGTTTCAGTTCAGTGAAAATCAAACAGCTACGCCGGTTTGGAGGGTTTTATCTTTTACATGTCTCAACATCGAAAAGAAGCCCTAAACGAATGCAGCTGTCTCTAATTGTTGGAATTGCCTTCGGCTTTTGATTGATTTCAGATTTGCCGATTTCCAGATGATCCGGATTTCCGCATTTCCGGTTTTCCCTATTTCCGAGTTTCAACATTTCCGGTTTACATGTCAACCTGCCTTTGACCTTGCAGAGCCGGTTGAATCGAAGGTTCATTGGAGGTTGTAGCTCTGAAATCTCAATTTTCTGATCCAAAATGAGACCTGCCTAGTTGATTTTCTGATTCTCGAGCAAACTTTCACCTCTGAACGCTTGTTTTACCGAGCTATTTAGCTCGAAACGTGACATCTGTTTTGAGCTTCGGATTGTTAGCATGGGATTCAAAAATGGTTGCATACCAGCAGTTTCTAAAGCACATTTACTGGAATTTTATGGAGTCCGGCATCTCAGGGATTGGAATATGGCTCAATTTGTGAGTCAGTGCCTGTAATGAATTAGGTAAGCCGTACTTTTGACAAAATCTGCTTGAGGTAGATCCGTTGCTCTAAATCTGAAAATACCGTATTAGCTCGGATACGCGTTGATACAAACGGTCACAACTTTTAAAATACTGAAATCGTACATGGGGTTTTTTATATTATTAATAACAGATGGTCTATCTTTGCGTCTATTTAGTCTAGAGCTTTCAACTATGTCCCAAAAGTCAGAAATAAGCTTTTAAAACAGTGTAATTTTTGGCCTTTCGTTCCAAGGCAATTAGTTGGGGTCATATTTTGCTTGATTTCGTCTTTCCAGCTATATTTAGCGGATAACTAGTACTTTTAGGAAAAATTAGAGATTGTTACCTATAAATAGGTGTAAAATTCCTTGGTAGATGGTGCAAATCAAACTTTTTACAGTGCCGCAAAAAATGCCAAATTTTCAGTTTTCAAGACGTGCAAAATGGCCGTGGTGGGACAAAATACTCGCCCCCCCCCCAGCGCGGTCAGAAAATTATTGTGAATCAAAGCAAACCTATTTTAGTTATAGTCTCGATAAAGCCTTTCACTCGCCAGAGTTTCAGGCAAAATAATTTTTCACACGAAATTGAGTGGGCGGTTTTTACTGAGAGCCTCTTAAAGAGTCAAGTGACTACTTGCAAATTTATTTGCTAATGCAAACATTAGGCATGTTTCCTTATGGCCTATTTACATGGAAGGGGGGGGGGCCTCAGGCAGGTGAGCTAACCTGCTTAGGTGGGATAACCTGGCTGTCCATATAATCTCTCATTTTAATTTGATCACATGTACATTCAGTACATTACAGGTGGGGTGACCCGCTAAGGCTGGTAGGTCGGTGTGGCAAATGGGATAACCATGTCAGCGAGGGTTAAATTTTGCCATGTAAACGTTTCAAAGTGGCGTAAGCCGTTTTGTGATAAATGATATTCGTGCAAAATTCACTTTGGTAGTTGCTTTGCGTCATTATTAAAGGTGAGAACCCGGGGGTACTCCTGGGAATTGTTGTTGGGGATGTGCGGCCTGGTTCTTGAAATTGTGACCCGATTTCAGAATCAAAAAATGTAATTTTCCATACTCGTTTTCAGAGTAGACCTGTAAAGTTGATAGCCTTTTTTAGACCTGGCCTTTAGGGAGAAATTATGTTATGATTACTTAGACTAGAGCGCAAATAAAAGAATGATTCAAGTCCATGTCCAATTCGCATGTTTCTGTTTCTTTCTCACTGATTTGGAATTGAAACGATAAATACGTTGATACAATCGGTAGTTCTGTCGAAAAACACACACGATTCAAGACCAAAATGGCCAAAGTGTATACTTGTTTT